ATCATACAAGCATAACACTTATGCTCCCACTAGCTTTGACATGTATTCAGAAAACAAATGAACTTCCAGAAAAACAATGCCTATTGAATTTCTGAAATTCATATTTTTTTATACCAGATGCTTCGATAAGCCTTTATCTAAGCTTCTTAAACTTATACACCTTTGCCTTAGATAGCTCATATGTGTGCATAAACAATTTAGAACTTATGTTACTAAGTTCCAAATGTTCAAACTAATTGCCAAATCTCACAATTCGAACTATGGAAAGGGATGCCGTAACCATAATCGAATTTAAGAATACAATTTTCACAATCGCTATCTTCTTAAAATCTCTCTTAGTGAAAGCATTTCCTCACAGTCATTTTCATGAAGAAGGGAATCTTATGACACTTAGATTTTATGGTGTATGAGTTCCTATCCATGTGAATTTGCCAAAACCAAGGTGTGCGACAAATCCAAACTCATATGGACTGAACTTTCTTAATCTTGATTTCTTGCCCTATGGTAACACGAGTGCCCACCATGTCTTCCAAGTAGTTTAGTAACTTGTCCTTACATATCAATGTACTTCCCATCGACTAAGGCTTTAGTATGTATTCAAATGAGAACTCATAGAACTCATATACACAATTAACTCAATTGGAATGGAACAGAAACAAAATAATGTCAACACGATAGGTTGCAAACCTCAAGTCGTGTGCTAGTGATGATCGATAAGGTTTATTCTTGATTTGTTCTTGAAACCTTTCAAGACCATTAAGACTCCCACTGACTCTTTGACATATAAGATTCTCTTGTCAAGAAACATTTCTTGATAAACCAAATATTCAAGAGTTAGTGTAGTTCTTATCAAGACAAAACACTTCACACAATTGGTCCTAGTTGGTCTTTGTCTTATCCAAGACAACACAACTTCCCAATTTCAAATGTGCAAGAATAAGAAAACTTTTCCAAATTCCACATTTGATGAGTGTTATAAACCTACTGAAGACTTTTCACTCAATGTCACAATCTTGACTCTAAGACTTGATATTGGAACGAAGTATGATTGACTTATTGATTCAACCATTTCTACAATACTTGATACCTCTTCTTAGACATGCAAGTGCACTAAGACTCACTTAGAGGATCTATTGACACACGGTTCTTAATCTTTAAGACTTATCATAAAACACAATAAAAGGTACTCTCCCTTCTTCTTAGAATAGAGAAACTTTTATCTTTCTGCCTACTTGATTCTTCTTTATTCGTTCTACTATTCATTGAAACTTTTTCAATCAACTCAGAATTATACTTAATCTTATAAGTATAATCATATTTACTAAGCTTTAGTAAATCATGACGAATATCTTTGTCACTCTTGTGGTGGACTTGATCAACACACAACCTTGTGTACTTGATCTCCTTGTCCTTCAATTGACACTTTGCCAAAGAATTAGTCTAAGTTTCCCAAATGTGAAGGTTTTTCATTCATCATACAATACACATTGCATGATTCCAAGTTTCTATCCAATTGAAACTTGGGCGATGAGAAACTCTCCTTACTTGGTAAACTCTTGACACTTCCACAAATAATACAATTAAGAATCAAATCCATTATTGCTAATAATAGAAACACTCAAACATCAATTTTTCATACATGCCATCGCAAGGATAAATAAATAGGATAAAATCAAAATTCATTTTATTGCGGAAAAAATTTGTCCTTACAATGTAATTCAATTGAAAAACTATGTTATTACATATTTCTTAACAATCTATTCTAACTCCAAGTAGTAACTCAAGAATCCATTCTTCAAGTAATGCGATCGAAATCCATTTCTTCATGATTAGATTCAGCTCACTTCTTTTCTCAAGCTTCCTCTCTTTTCTTCGATCCTACAAAACATCAAAATGTAATCTTATCACATCATGTATTAAGAATCTAGAATAGGAACTCAAAAGAGTTAGATAATGGATTTTACCTGAAGTAGAGCCATACGTCCTGACTCTCCCATCTCTTAGATCTTTCAGGTAGTTAGGACAGCTTCGTCTCCAATGCCCCTTCTCTTGGCAATAAAAGCAAATGGACTCCTTTGGCACAGCACATCGGACAATCAAAAACTTAGTTCTTTCTGGACTTCCAATGTTGCCAGTTTCCATTGAAGTTTGGGAGTTTGATTCACTAGACAAATTTGCTTGACCAACATGCCAAATCATTGCTGATTCAGCAGCTATAAGAAAATAGGTGTGACCAATTAGGGTCACGTCGTGGTCCATCATATAGTACTCTCTAACGAACTCACTATATGATTCAGGAAGTGACTGAAGAACCCAGTCAGCAGCCAACTCACCTGAAATTTCGACACCCAACATGTTTAACCTATCAATGTGTGACTTCATCTCTAAGACGTGCGCACACACAGGTTTCCCATCTTCGTTTTACTTGCCAAAAGGGCTTGAGTGAGCTTGAACTTTTCAATCCTTTGAACTTGTGGGATAGGGAGAATAATTGGAGGAGGTGGAGGAAGTGAAGCGTGACTCTCATTTCCTTGATCGTATCTCGGAACATTATCTTCATTTGGAAAGCTTGTTCCAAAGGATTTGGGAAGACCATTGTAAGATTCAGACATCTACAAAACGGGAGAAAATTCAAGTTATGTTGATTAGAATTCTTGATGTAACACCCAAATGAAACATCAAGCTAGGATCCAACACAATACTCTACAACCTAGAAGAGGGATGCCGTAATCTAGTTGCAGAATATCTGAAGGTAGGTAAATGACGATTTACCAATTTCCACCATGAAAAACGAAAAAGAAGTTTAAGTTTTAAATGAATTGAAACTCCTAGATCTTTTGAGATTCATTGAACTTTTCAATGACATGTTTAATCTCGATTATGCCCTACTATTTGTGACTGGGATGCCGAGGATCACAAACAAGGTGTGAATAACCATACGAATCATGTGGTGCGCCCAATGCTACTATCACCTAATCAATGTGCCGGTTAGCCACACGCGCTCCATTGATCTATGATAAGCACCCTTCGCCACCAATGTCATCCCCAAATTAGTGTGCCGGTTAACCACACACGCTCCACTAACGTTTGACAAGGGTATGAAGTGTAATTCCATGGGTTAGCATACAATTTCACATTTTTCCTAAAGTAACTATGATTTGGGAATTTGTATAAGCATTTAGTTACTTTGTACTTCATTATACTTATAATGGAAGGTTTATGTCCTATCCTACCCGTTCGGCTAACGATCCTCCACTAGTCAAGAGTGCGGTGGGTAAGAGTGGATACCCATTCAATCGCCATTTTATAGGCAATTTCCTTAAACACCCCTTATAGACCAGCTTCGTGAATGAGGCCTACTAACGGTAAGACTGACTGTTTACTCATACATATATATAATATTAGACTTTTAATGTTATATATAGTATAGGGTGTATTTTACACATTTAAAATACTAGGTGGTTTAACTTAGTAAATTATACTTTTAACTTAATTAAATGTAAACCAAAACTTTATGGGTTTATTAAATCACTTTTAATTATACACTTCAATTAATTAATAAAACCATAAGGGTGTGATTTGAACTTTTTCAAATTACTAGGGTTTTAGAATTTAACATTTCAAAATTAAACTTTTAATCAACTTTTAAATTCCAAAACTTGAGGGAAAGTTTTGAAACATTTCAAAACATTAGGGTTTAACTTATTTAAATTTCATAAACAAAACTTTTAAGTTCAAATTTAAACTATAAAACCTAAAGGGTGTAATTGAAACTTTTTCACATTACAAGGGATCAAATAACAAATAATATAAGTTAAACAATTAAATTATTCATTATCTATATTTGACCTAATCTTATTTTAGTCATTAGATAATTACCAAATAACTTTAAATAATCCATATTTATCACATAAACAACCAATATTTAAAAGATTTGAAATTATCTATTGTTTTGGCAAGGATAAGCATATAATTAAGATAAAATTCGGATTTTAACTTCATAAAACAATTTATGCATCAAATTCAAGTCAAAACAGCAGCTAAATCCCGAAATACCCTCTACTTGACGCACTGACTCGCCGAGTCAGGGCCAACTCGCCGAGTCCAGATACTGACTCGCCGAGTTGAGTCGGGTAGAGGCAAAAAACTCGTTTTTCAGTAAATAATTCAACATAGCATCACATACAACAGAAACCAATCAAGGCTCTGATACCACTGATGGGTTTTAGGCATAAGAACAATCCTATGTGCTCATACAAACCCTAATGCTTGGATCTAGGTTTCTCTATTGTACATGCTTTGAATCCAAGACTAATTTACTTAGATCTAACATATTATAAACTGAATTAGGGTTTATATAATTACCTTTGATTGTTATATAGCAATAACAATCAATTCCTTGCTTGGATTGGCTTCAAAAGCTTTGTGCCTCAAGTGTTGCACCTCTAATGGAGTCACAAACACCATATGCAACTTGGATGAAGAGGAGAAGAAGAGAGGCTGCCCAAAAAACGACTAGAAACCCTAGAGAATCAGTTGTCCACGTTTTTGGGGCCTAAGGGGTCCTTTATATACTTATGTGGGCTGCTAGGGTTTCAGTCAAAACCCTAATGGACAGCTTAAACTCTAAGCAGCCCATGGAACCTTCTGGACAAGGCTATGGACGAAAATATGATGGGTTTCCATCATAATTTCGTTCACCCCTTATTCCTTTAGCATTCCTTAGCCCAATAACTCAATTATCCAATAATTGTAGTCCAGTCCCCTATATTTTATTAATCTCTTTTAGCCACAAAATTAATTATCAATTAATTCTTGACTAATATTAATTAAACAATATGATTTCTCCTTTAATATATTATTCTCATAATATATTAATAAATCATATTTAAACCTTTCTCTCCTTAATTCATCCTACATATTGCTATGGTGAAGGCAACCCAAAAGGACCATGCTCATAATCGGGTCAAGTACATACCAAATAGTTATGGACTTAGACACTAATCCAACAAAAGATTCATATGAGAAAACATAAGTAAACGCGCCTCTGCTTGAGCCTCCAAAGATAAAGGCACATGAACAGCCATTTGATCCCCGTCAAAGTCTGCATTGAAGCCCTTACAAACTAATAGATGTAAACAAATAGCGCGCCCTTCCACTAAAACGGGGAGGAATGCCTGTATGCCTAATCTATGTAGAGTAGGCGCTCTATTCAGCAATACAGGATGGTCATCCAGAATTTCCTGAAGTATTTCCCATACAATCGGTTTTTTTTTTTCTGAATTTGACTCTTAGCAACTCCTATGTTCGAAGCAAGATGTTTTCTAATTAGGTCACGAATTACAAATGCCTGGAAAAGTTCTATTGCTATTTCGCGAGGCAATCCACATCGATGTAATGAAAGTGAAGGGCCCACGACAATCACGGACCGCCCTGAATAATCGACCCGTTTACCAAGCAGAGTCTCGCGAACTCTTCCTTCTTTGCCTTTAATTACATCTGAAAGCGACTTGTAAACTCTATTATGATCATCCCTCATTGGTTGTCCGCATATTCCATTATCAAGAAGTGCATCCACGGCTTCTTGTAGCAATTTTTCCTGAGATATTATTAATTCTTCTGGCGTAGCTATACTTGTTGTTAATAGATCTTTAAGAGTATTATTCCGATAGATAATTCTTCTATAGATTTCATTAATATCCGAGGTCACTAGTTTATCCTCATCTATATGATAGATTGGTCTCAACTCAGGAGGAAGAACTGGTAATAAACGCAAAACCATCCATTTTGGTTCTATATTTGTTCGAATAAAATGCTTAGCCAATTCCATGCGTCTAAGCAAAAAATCTTTTCTTCTTCCAACTTTTCGATCTTCCCATTCGTTCCCTGTGGGTTCCTCTTCCTCCAATTCTTTCCATTCTACCAATGAATAGTCTATAATAATTCGTAAATCTAGATTGGCTAATTGTTGTCTAATAAACCTCCCCCGGTAGACATCTCTCGATTTCGAAATGTATCGAAGCTCCGGGTAGTAAAAAAAATGGGGATCCTGTATTTCCAGGGTTGAATTTCATATTCTAATAAACCCCGTAATCGTAAAAAAGTAGGTTTTTTTATCTATGGGCCTAGCAAAATAAAAATTGGGATAGGATCTCCCCCCCCCCCTCAAAATCGGACGTGAAAGTTTCCTTTCATCCGGCTCAAGTAGGTATACCAAAAAAAGAAAAAGAAAGGAGTTCTTGCTTTCAAATTCTAGAAAACTCCAAAAAGATCTACTCCTTACTCAAGTTTCCAGTGAAGACCAAGCAAAACTTCATGGATTCCGTATTCCTTAATTATTTTTATTTATATTTTATGAATTCTTTATTCAATTATGACATAAATGAAATGTGAAATTCTTGAGTAGTCTACTTCCCCTCGAATGATGAATCCCGTAATTCTTAATGAAAGAGAGTACCTTAGAATTCAGAAGGAATTTACTTGCTATTGTACTGTTCCATTTGATCTTTTAGGTCCCGACTTCACCTCGACGGTTAGGCCACGATGCCCTTAAAGTCTATATGCGATAGATAGGCTCTTGTAACCATGACATCTTTTCTATTTGCTTACTTAAACATAATTTCTTTCTAAAAAGGAACTGCTTAATTCCACAAAAGAAAAAGTCTTTTTTTTACAAGGTCTAACTATAAATTCTTATGAAGTCGACCATAGATCAATTCCCTTTTTGGGGAGCGTCTTGAATACATCCCTAATTCTGAGCTTCATGTTACTCCTACCAAGAAACATGTCAGGTACAGGGCATCCCGATTGGATTAAATGGGATGACAGTTTCTCATTTCGAATCTGTAAAATCAGAATTTCAATCAAATCACACACCGCAGTATACTAGGTCTTCTAATTCGTTAAGAGGTTTATCTAAAAGAGTCACAATATAACTAGGAAGACGTTTCAAATACCACACATGCATTACCGGGTATGCAGTTTGATGCAGCCCATTTGATATCTTCGTATCCGAGAATCAACAAACTCGACTCCGCATTGTTCACAAAATTGCGGGTCTTCCTTTTCATCTCCGATTACTCGATAATTTCCACAAGCACAAATTCCACTTTTGATAGGCCCAAAAATTCTTTCACAAAATAATCCATCTTTTTCTGGTTTATTGGTTTTGTAATGAAAGGTATAAGGTTTTGTCACCTCTCCAACTATCTCGCCATTAGGCAGTATTTTTTGGACCAAGTACTTATTTGTTGAGGAGAAACTAATCCAATTCGGAGTTGTTGATGTGTATATCGATCGATCATAGAAGAAAACTTCTGCTTGATTTCGATTAAGCTTCCTTCCTATTAAGCTGGAAAGTCTTCTCAGATACAAGAAAATGATTCAGTTCCAGAGCTAAAGATCGTAGTTCTCGAACGAACAACCGAAAAGATTCTGGAGCATCTTCAGGAGTCGGTATTCTTCCTCCAAAGATTATAGTACCAAGTACTTCCTGGCGCGCTCTAATATGATCAGATTTATAAGTAAGCATCTCTTGTAAAATATAAGCAACGCCAAACCCCTCTAAAGCCCAAACCTCCATTTCTCCTACCCATTATCCCCTTTCTTGGCCCTTCCTTTAAGGGGTTGTTGTGTAAGACGTGAATAATGCCCACTGGAACGCCCATGGATTTATCATCAACTTGATGAATTAATTTCAAGATATAAGGCTTTCCTATTATAACAGGTTGTTCAAAAGGATCCCCTGTTCTTCCATCAAATATTCTGCTTTTTCCTGGAGACTCGGGTTCAAATATCCATGGATTCACTGTTTGCTTAGTGGCTTCATATAATTCAGAAAACACCAGTTTTCTCGAAGCTTCTTGTTCATATCTCTCATCAAAAGGTGCTATTCGATAATGTCTGTCTAGCAAACCCCAGCTAACCCGAGTGAAGATTCAAATATTTGTCCTACATTCATTCGGGAAGGTACTCCTAATGGGTTTGAAGACCATATCAACAGGTCTTCCATCTTGCAAATAAGGCATATCTTGTCTAGGCAAAATTTTTGAAATGATACCCTTATTTCCATGTCTTCCAGCTACTTTATCGCCTACTTTTATTTCACGTTTCTGTAAAATATACACGAATACTTTCTGTTTTCTCTGTCTCATCTGTCTTAGAACTCCGGACCCATCTCACATCAATCACCCGACCCTACCTCCTATAGGTAATTTTAGACAAGTTTCTTTTGAAAGTATATACCCGCATGCCAAGTATGGTTCGTAACAATCTATCTTCGGGGGCATACGATGATTCTTTCACCATTTGGGGCGTTAATTTACCTACTAAAATATCACCTGTTTCCACCCAAGATCCCAGCATTACAATTCCATTTTTGTCTAAAATTTAGAGTAAATGGACTTCTAAATGCGGTATTTCATTAGTGACTCTTTCGGAGCCTTGGTTAATCTGAATTTCATATTTACGTATGTGAAAAGAAGTATAAATATCTTCATATACTAAGCGCTCACTAATGAGTACTGCATCTTCAAAATTGTATCCTTCCCATGGCATATAAGCTACTAATACGTTTTTCCCCAAAGCGAGTTCGCCACCAACTGTAGCAGCACCATACGCTAAAATTTGTCCCTTTTTAATGCATTTACCCCGCTGAGCCTGGGGTTTTTGATGCATAAAAGTATTTTTGTTGGAACGTTGATACATAACTAATGGAATCCTTAGAGTATCCCCATTACCTGATAAAAGGATCTTGTCAGTATCGGTATAAATAATCTCTCCCTCGTGTTCGGCTATAGCAAGAGCCCCTGAATCTAGAGCCGCTTGGCCTTCCAATCCAGTTCCAACAATGCACTTCTCGGACTGAGAAAGAGGGACTGCTTGGCGTTGCATGTTAGAACTCATTAAAGCCCGATTCGCATCATTATGCTCGATAAAAGGAATGAGGGAAGCTCCAATAGAAAAATATTGGAAGGAAAAAATACTTCGAAGATGAACCTGTTCCCATGCAATAGTCAGGAATTCTTGACGATATCGAGCTGGAACAACCTGTTCTTCCTGAATACCCTGATTTAAGGCCAAAGAATTTCCTGCCGCTACCATATAGTATTCATCTCTGCCCGGTGATAAATAAAGCATCCGCGCCCCTTTTGATCTCTCAGAAATTTTATAAAACGACTTTCTAGAGACCCCCAACGACTAATCCTGGCATGAATTGCTAAGGATCCAATAAGTCCAACATTTATTCCTTCAGATGTGTCAATTGGGCAAATACGCCCATAGTGACTAGGATGAATATCTCGTATTGGAAAAGTAGCAGTTCGCGCAGTCAACCCCCCGGGCCCAAATAACTCAATTTTCTCCATGAACTATTTGTGTCAATGGATTAGTTCGATCCAAAACTTGAGATAATGGGTGTAAACGGAAAAAAACTTTATAAGTATCTGTTAATGGGGTTGAATTTACCAAGTTCTGAGGAGTTGGTGTCCAGTTATGCTTAAGTGCTGCATATATGTTTCCTCGAGCCATATTTTCTAAACGAACCAAGGCCAATCCAAATTGCTCTTGTAAAAGATCTGCTACAGAACGAATACGTTTATTTGCAAATGATTCATATCGTCAAGTGTACCCATTCCAAATTTGATTCGAATCAAAGATCCGCGGCTGCCAATATATCTCGCGGTAACAAAAATGTATTGTTCTGGGTATATCAAGGTTCAGTCTCCGATTCATATTTCGTCGACCAATCCCTCCCAATTCACATCTTTGTTGAAAGAATTTTTTTGTAAATCCTTAGATAAGGATTCAGAAAATACCGGATCTCCCTCTACACAAGCAAATTGTTGATAAAACTCCAAAATAGCATTTTCTTTTGACCCTATTTGTTTTTTATCATTCAGAAAAGACAAAAATAGTTCAGGATAGCAAACATTCTCTAGAATAGAATTTCTCTTATATTCAACCCCATAGCTGATAATAGAACTAGAATAGATAGTTTTTGTTGCCTACTCACGCGAACCCATATCCTTGTTTTTCTATCAATCTCTAATTCTAATCTTCCTCCCCAATCTGATATTATGGTGCCGGTATAGACGGAAATTCCATTATCGTTCAATTCTGACTGGTAATAAATACCGGGACTTTGCAATATTTGATTGATCACAATTCTATATATTCCATTTACTATAAAAGCTCCCAGAGAAGTCATTAGAGGGATCTTTCCTATCAAAATTGTTTGTTCTTGGATATACCTACGCCTATCGTTTTTCCAAATTAGTCTCGCAGATACATATAATTCAGAAGAATATGTGAGTGATTCATACACAGCATCTCTTTCCTTTATCGAGGGTTCTACCAATTGATATCTTTCCAAAAATAATTCAAAGTCAATTTCTTGATTTGTATCTTCAATTTTTGGAAACTTAGAAAGTTCTTCTGTCAAACCCTGATCAATGAACCTACAAAATCCTTCAAATTGTATCTGATTAAATCCAGGTATTGTGGACATTGCGTCTATCCCGGATTATTTTGAAATTGTCAGTTATTTATATTCATCCATCTCGAATTCTCCAAAAACAAAAAAAAAAAAAGAAATACCATTTTGGCTGGCTCATTATCCATCAAATCCTATAGCAATGATGGAATTTCGATTCCATGAATCTTTGACTGGAATCTATGAGATAGGTGGAATTCAAATTTATACTTAATTTCAATTTAATTTAAATTGTCATTTTTAAGAGATGCAAATGGAACGGAATTGAGAAAACAGTCCTAGAAACAGAATTCTCCTGCTTAGTCTTACTATGCTTTGGGATTTTTTTTATAATATAAAAACTGCGTCAGTTTCTTATATTATAATGTAAAACGGTATTGATATTCTAATCTACTTGAATATTTAATACCATAAAACTAAAGGAATGTTGTATTGATGAACCCAGCGGATATACCTAATGTCTTTTCTCTTCTTTTATTTTTTATTGCCCTCCTGTCGTCAATTGACAGTTGACAGTATTATTTATATATATATATAATTTGATATGACTTTGATATGATTTAGGGCTCAATAAAATTCCCAAATCAGACTTTGGTAAATCATTTTTTTTTGCATCTCCTGCTCTGCTGATTCAGAGGTACCGTATCTTGGATCCAATGCAAAACTCTTTCTGAATGAGAGAGATAAAGACGAGAAAAACCAATGAAATAAAGTTGAAAGATTGTATAGTTTAATGGTAAAGTTTGATTACCATTAACCCCCAGAAAAGTTAACGAGTTTTTCGGTTTGATTCATATCCTATTCATCTTCTAAAGGTGTCCCTCGGCTGATTTATATTAAGTTAAGGTGGCCTTAGGCCTTATTCCCTATTGTATTTGTATTGTGTAGTGCTTTTTGATTTCCTAAAGGTGGCCATAGGCCCCTATGGTCCATTGGTGCCCCTATGGTCCAGTGGTTACGACCTCTCTCTTTCACGGAGAAAACGAGGGTTCAAGTCCCTCTAGGGGTATACCAAGACCATAGGAGTAGGATTTTATCAAAAGTGAAATGTATTTGTCAAGTCCGCCTGGTAGACGAAAGGAAGTTGATTATGGAACGTCTAATTAGGCGTTGGGTCGATGCCCGAGTGGTTAATGGGGACGGACTGTAAATTCGTTGACAATATGTCTACGCTGGTTCAAATCCAGCTCGGCCCAAAAATTCGCCAATATACTATCAAATGGTAGAACCCTCTTGTTCTTAAGAAATACCTGATAAGAGAGAATAAAAAAGAAGCCAAATTTTCTGTTAGATCTCTTCTTATTTCCCTGGGATTGTAGTTCAATAGGCAAGAGCACCGCCCTGTCAAGGCGGACGTTGCGGGTTCGAGCCCCGTCAGTCCCGACGGATCCAATAAGTACATCAATTCACCTCTCCATTTTATGTGAAATGTTTATGTGAAATGAAAGAAGGGACAGAGATCATAATTTAATTCCGAAGGGGTTTCCCCTCTTTTTTTCAGGATTCTGTCGAAGAAAGAACAAACACTAAAATAAAATGAAAATAACTAAAACAGTGAAGTTGATAGAATATTCCATCTTTTCTCCCGCGACTCCTCTTTCTCATACTTCTTTGTCTTCCAAATAAAATTGGATCATTCAAATTTACAACCTAATTCCTCTCTTTTTCCACTTCGCTTGTATTTTTTGTTGGCGTTTTGTAGTTAATGGAAACGGACGAGGATACTTCATTTGATGGTTCTATACGGAAGACCTAGGGTAGGTTATAGAAAAGAAAGAAAAGAAAAGAAGGATAAATAAAGGAATTTTTGATTGGTCCGGGAATCCAATCTTGGATTCGGTATGGATAAAAGATCTTCGTATGTTATACTATTCAATTCTCGACGACGAATTAATTTAATAGCTCAGATATTGTTATTCATGATATTGATCCGATTCAAGATCATCGATAGGTAATGCATTCATTGAATTGACAGGTGAAAGATTTATCATCTCTATGGGATTAAATCCCGAGTTATTGTGAAATAAAAAAAAACGATGAGATTGAGATTATGGAAGTAAATATTCTTGCATTTATTGCTACTGCACTGTTCATTTTAGTTCCTACTGCTTTTCTACTTATCATTTACGTAAAAACAGTCAGTCAAAATAATTAATTACTTGAAATGAAACTTGACTTCTGAGTTCTTATCAATAGTTGAAGAAATCAAATCAAAATATTTTTTTGCGTTTTAAATGAAATCAACGGGCTATAATGAGCGGTATTCTATGAGATCCGAGAGTATGGTAAGAAATTTCTTACCATACTCTCTATTAGTGTTATAGTAGTGTATAAAGTTGTACTTTACTTTCTAATAAAGTTGGTATACTATATTAGCTTCTATCTTCAATATATGTAGTGATTAATCCATATATGGAATTAACGTAGGACCCAATTCTCTTTCTTTCTGAAATAATTGTTTTGCTGTTATATAATACATTTCTCCACTAGAATCCAATGGAATTTCGAAATGAATAAATTTTGATTTGAAAATTATTTCAATTCAAATAAAAAATAAAAAATGCGTTGCAGAACGATCTATAAAACAATTGATACCATTTCATTCCTAAACTAAATTAGTAGTCCTTCTAAAGTCCACTTCTTCCCCATACTACGAGTGAAAGGGAAAATGTAAAGACTACCATTAAAGCAGCCCAAGCGAGACTTACTATATCCATGTCAATTATGTCCCTTATCTTTATGCTAGAAATATTCCATTATTGTATTGCTCACTAATAATAGTAGAATCCATGGTCCAGAGTCAAAAAGGGATTCTGGCCGAACACTATTGATGAACCAATCAAATAAATCCATTTCTAAAAAATTCCTATATGATTTCTAACCGGGAAAGACTAAACACAACTAAAATACACAATGACGCTACAAAGGAATGTTACTAATGGAACATATAGTAATAAAAAAACAGGGCCCATTCTTTGTTGCCCTTCAAAGTACAAATAGATCAATTGCTATCTATTACATACTTTTATTTCCTATTTGATCTAATCCGTACCCTTTCCTTTCCCGATTGTCTCTCTGAAGCAGTTGGGAGATAGTATATTATACTCTTGACGAGGGGTTTCAAAAAAAATAATAATTTTTTTTCACTTTTTCTATAAAAAAGTAAATTATCCATCCAATCTCAATCTAATAGTGATTGAATGCCTGAACACTCAGAGATTCTCGCGAGTCTATATATGTAGATTACATAAAGGACTTTCCACAACTAGTTAGCCGCCGGCGGCTATGCCAATGAAATTCAAGACCCAATCAGTAGACATTAGCAGTAGAAGGGAATCGGGAAGTCTTGCTTCGACCATTATAATATAATCTTTATTTGAATTTTAGATTGAAAGATTTCCAATCTTTTACAAAATCCCCAGAACAGATGTTTAGAATCAACCAAGTATCAACAATCGCCTTATCTGTTGGGTAAAATTTGGGTGATTTATATCAGCAGATAATAAATTTTGATTCGTTTGTTGATGAGGCGGCACCCGGATTTGAACTGGGGAAAAAGGATTTGCAGTCCCCCGCCTTACCACTCGGCCATGCCGCCAAAACGATACAC